TCTTATAACCGTGATCAGTTTATTAATCTCTCACCAAACTTTTCTTGTGAGAGACGATGGAGACTTTTCTAGGTTCAATGCTTAGGCTACTATTTTAGTCTCCTATGAAATAGCATAAGTTGAAGTTACTAGTAGTTACCCAATTATAGTTTACCAAATTGGTTTGATTATTTGAATTTGACAAAGAAAAATCTTGTTTCCGATTAGCAAATGTACAAGTTTTATGAGTTTTCTAGATTATGTGTTCGGCTCAACTAAGTGTAGTCATTTCTCAAAGACCAGTGCTTACCTCATCTGAGAGTGAACTCTAGATGCTCTTTATCCGACCCTTCGTTGGCGTGCTGATATCCTAGAAGGGTGTTTTTCATTGACCATAAAATGCCTTTTACTTTCACCGTCCCCACATATCCCTCTAAAGTCCATGACGGCAACTCTGCAAGCCATTGTCATTAACCTTGGCCGTCCATCTGGGATATTTGACCTTTCAGAGTCTTCTTTTTGACTGGTCTTCATCGTTCATCCCTGAAACTTTATTGTTCATCGACATATATAGGGTAGGGGGACAGGTATCTTGGCATAGCAAAAATCAAGAATGGCAGGAGAGTGTGTTCAGTTCCTCGGATTCTGGGCAAGTCCTTCTGCCCTCAGAGTTGTGTGGGCTCTGAAACTGAAAGGAATAGACTATGAGCACATTGAGGAGGATCTTCTCAACAAGAGTCCTTTGCTCCTGAAGTATAATCCTGTTCATAAGAAGGTTCCAGTCCTCGTGCATAATGGTAAACCTGTGGCAGAATCATTAATCATTGTTGAATATATTGACGAGGTTTGGAAGCAGAATCCTCTCTTACCTCAGGATCCCTATGAAAGGGCCAAGGCTCGCTTCTGGGTGAAATTTGCTGATGAAAAGGTAATGGAAGAGACACTGTATTTTCTTATCTAAAATCTACAGCCTTTTAATATCACTGATCTTCTCCTTCAGGTAGTGCCAGATATGGTGAGCACATTCATGAAAACTGGGGAGGAGAAAGAGAAAGCAGCAAAAGCAGCTCGAGAGTGTCTGAAGACTCTAGAGAGTGGCTTAGAGGAGGGGAAGCAATTCTTTGGAGGTGAAGCAATAGGCTTTGTGGACATCGCCGTAGGCTGGATTGGAATCTGGGCTCGAATAGTTGAAAAGCTCAAGGATGTCAGCTTAGTTGACGAAGAGACCATGCCACTGCTCCATGCCTGGCTTCAAAATTTTCTTGAAGTTCCTATCATCAAAGAATGCATACCTCCTTGGGATAAGCTGCTGCAGCACAACAAAGGTTACCTTGTGAAATTAACGCCCGACTCAACATGAAGTCCTTGACGACATTATAGAAGTGAACTTTGTTCCGCCTGCATGTCTTTTATGCGTTAGTCATCATAGAAAAAGAAAATCAAGAGATCTGTACGATGTCTGGTTTGGTACCCATGCATGTCCTTTGCACTTGTGTTATGAATATTTGTTTTTCTATGAGATCTGAAAATTCAATAAAGGACAAGAGTCGCTTCCAGCAGCTATGCTTGCAACTGAGATTTGATGAATTGGAAATCATTGGTGTGTATGGTATACTATTTCTTTTGCAGCATCCTAACTAGAACTTTTATCTCCATATCAAATCCACAAAACATTAACCTGGACAAACAACTCAGTTACTATAATCGCAAAACTACTCAGCAAAGTGGAGCATTTTTCATATCTTTCAATTGCAACTGGTAATTACATAGCAGCAGTTAGTATTCCCTACTTACAGTTAGTGATCACATACCATCTACGACGGCACCCTATTGGCAGCATCTGCAGTGGCTAACCAAGCCTACGTTTTGCTTTTGTTTAAAAATAACAAGATTAGAATTATCTACCAAGATCACTTTCTTCTCTAAATGACAAGAACCAGCTTCCCTAATGAAAGGAACCTTGAACGAGGAACATAAGCCATAATGCTTTCCACTTCTATTGAATCTCTTCCTTGTCATCTTCTCCATTTTAATTTTCCTCATAAATTTGATTGACTTGGTATGCTGAGAGCTTGGATGAGGGAAGATGTCTCATCATCTACCTCAATTTTATCCTTCTCCATCATGTCAAGGATGTCATGTGCTGGTTTCTTAGAAGAAAGGTGTATTCTAAGCAATGACTTATATAGTGGTAAACTTCCAAGACCAAGTTGATGGATATCTTTGATGTAAAGGTTTGCTTCTTCAAAACTGCCATGCTTCTCAAAGAATTCTACAAAGGCCATAAGAGTACTATGTGATGGGTTCCACTTACAGTTTTTTAGCACAGCTAACCCTTTCTTCATGGCATCAATGGCCTTTACCATGTTTTGGCTTCTCAGCCATCCCTCTGTCAGAATTTCCCATGTTTTAAAGTTTGGATGCCCGCCTCTCTCCAATGTATGGAGATGCAGAAGCTCAGCTTTCTCTACCAATCCATTCCGCATGTATGCACCTAAAAGGACGTTGGAGACTCGGATATCATAATTCTGACATTTGGACTCCCATTTCTTAAATATCCTCTCGGCTTCTGCAAGATCACCTAGTTTCACCAAGCATGACAATATACACAAATAATTGGTACACGTGATTCTCCCATCTGCCAGTTTACTAGCCTCCCAAAGCCGAAGAACTTCATCCTTCTTGTTCAAAGATGCATACAGCGTAATAAGAAAGAAATAACCCAGGCGTTTGCTAGTAGATAGCTTCTTTTCCGCATTTTTTAAGGCCATAACTGCTTTCTCAACAAGACCTGCCTTTGTATAAATATTAGCTAAAGTAGCTAGTGTGCTCCATCCCACTTTCACATACTTATCACCCAGCATTTCTTTGTAGACCATCTCTACCTTTTCAATCCCAGAGAACTTAGCACATGCTTCCATCCAAAGGTTGTATGAAAGAACATTTCTGCATATTTTGTTTTTCTTCATAAGCATTATAACTAGGGGCACTTTCTCGTACTGAGAGGTTGCCACATAAAGCTTCATCATTTCATTGAAGGGATGGGGTTCAAGAATCAGTCCCAAGGCATTCAATTTACTCATAAGAGCCTCAGCTTTCTCAACATTCCTTTCTTTAACATAACCACTAAGAAGGAGGGGAAATGGCGCAAAGGCCTTTTTCGGCAAAGCAGTGTTGCTGGACATATGATTGAAATACTCTTCAGCCGCCTTTAAACCACGGACCTGGATGAGTAACTCCAATTTCATGGCTTGGTCATCTGCTGTCATCTTGAAATCTGTCTGAGCTTCCTTCCATGTCAAGATCTATATATACAGAATATAATGCAAATAAAATCACAATTCACGATACTACATTCAATATTAAGCAGGAAAATTCAAGCCTGAGCTGCCTAATAATACTACTTTCGAAAAATAGATGAAACTTCTTCTTTGCATTTAGCAATGTAATTTCCACTAAACATTATATCAAGAATGAAAAAGAATGATGGAATTGAAAAAAAGAAGAAGAAGCAAATATTGAGGCAAAAGAACAATTTTTGCACTTTATATTTCTAATTTGAAAAGAAAAATAGTCCCTCTCCATTTCTCTCTGACGCAAACAAACAATCAATTGAAAGTTGAAACAGAGGGCAAGATCGGAACCTCAAGAGCATGGTGGTAACGCCGAGATATCTTCAGCTGTCTTAAGACGCGCCGAAGTTCGGTAACGGTAACCTTGTTGCCCGATTCGATCCAATTTTGTAACACCGTGGTTGCCCTCTGCGTCGGCGATTTCAGCTTCAAAATGGTACTCCAAAGCGTTTCTTTGGTGGTAGCTTCCCTCAACGGTTTGTTCACGGCATGAGTAGGCGAAGCAACAGAAGATATCAGTCGCCGAGTAGCGGCGAACAGTGACCGAATCGCCATTAAAGCCTGCTTCAAGTCCGTCCCCAAACCGCAATAGCGGTATTTGATGTCGGAGAACAAAAAGGAAAAGCTCGTCCGTTGATCTCGTGGATCCCACAGCACAAATGTCACAATTATTTCTTAAAATGACGTCGTTTTGGATTTCTGTAAAGTTGCAAAACCCTTATCTCTCCTAAAACCCCAGACCACCTGAGCACCAGGACAACAGACTCCCCGCTTTACCGGAAAGCGGAAACCGGCGAAAAAACCGGAACCTGATTTTCTTTCTGAATGTGAATCCTCTAATTTTTCACATTTTGAACACCATTTTTTAAAAAAGAATTTCACTTCGGAAAATATTGTGCAGTAATTTGAGCTCCAGATGGGAAGATTCAGCTGGCTAGGGCTAGTAAGATGAATAACTTGATGTTTTGATCCCTTACAGATGGAATTTCACTTCATATCTCGATTTCTTAAGGCGAATTTATTGTGTGCAGTGTCGGCGGCATTTGCTGTCAACGACGACGTCGGAATGGCCCGTTAATCGACTCGATTGGTGGAGGGGAGTTTCTGCAGTTTCTTCGTTTCTGGACTCATTAAATCGTACAAGAGGTAAGCTGATTGCTATCCAAGAATGATTTAATAATAATGTAGATTATAGAGGATTTTATCATCAGCTGACGGGAATATATGTGTTTGTTTTCTTGATTAAGCTTTGCACAGTTGCAGATCTGTTATCGGAAAACATGTCGATTTTAAGGCGGCCGGAATGCCATTGTGAGAGGGTTAGATTCATGCAACAGGTGTTTTCCACATGCTTGACAATAATACTTTCTAAAGAAAAAATTGAAAAAAAAAGAGTCACACATTCTTATAACTTTTTCCAGGATCATGCTAATCCGCTAAACAAGACTATTATGAAATTCTTGGTGTGTCAGAAAATGCCAGCTGAGATGATATGAAAAAGGCATATCACGCAGTAAGCACATTGGCTGTGTTTCATGTTATTTCTTTGCAGAAATATGTGTTTTATCATGTAATTTTGGATTTCGACATAAGTCATTGGAGTTGAAACTGTGAAAGATTCAGTTGGAGAAAGTTATAATTCTTCTCAGTTGACAGTGAGGTAACTATGTTGGGGAAGGGTCAAGGGGAAGATCATATTAATCATTAGAGAAATAAAAGAAAAGGTTGTGAGGATATTAGAACCAAAGATAGGCTGCTGGAGTTAAGATTCCTTGATTGCGGTTACCAAAAATTGAGTATTCTTGACTTACAGATGCTGTAATCAGGCTTGTAGTATTGTCTATGCATCATTGAAGTCATAATCATACATAAACTTTGTGGGATGTTTTGTTCTTCGTTTTCTTTTTCCTAATTTGTTTGGCATGTGGAATTGTTTAAAGATGTCAAGGGAGTACGTTATATATTTATAAGGAAGCCTTTTGGATTTTAGCTGTATGACTGTGACTGTCAATGATAATCCAAATAAAGCTTTTGGGGTTAACATTATTGAGCTGTTTTCCCTTTATACAAATAGTCCCGTTCCTATAACTCCTGGATTAATGTTATTGCTCAAAAATCATCCTTTAAACCCAAATGCTATTATTCTCTGTTTGATTTTCTCAAGTTCCAATAAAATTTTTCAGCTTGCCAAGAAGTACCATCCTGATGCAAATAAGAATAATCCTTCTGCTAAGAGGAAATTTCAGGAGATTAGAGATGCATGCAAGGTTTGGCTATGGTCACTGAGGACCTTTATTCATACATTTCCCTTATATCTTGGTTCTCACACACACACATAACTGTGTTGAGCTTGTAAGTATTGGAAATTCGTTGTTCTATTCTTCCTAATGAATGACACAAAAAATCAAAATTCTTTTCCAGGAATCATGTTTTACATTCTACAAACTTCAACTTTACTAAGTTTTAGTTTCAAACTAGGGGACATTAGTGGATGCTTTTCTCTTCATTTGATACCCATTCAACGATAAACATTCGCGAGTTAAAAGTTTTGATGATCCCATCTTTGCAAGAGATGGTGCAGATGTGTATGTGGACTCTAAGATTAGCTTGACTCAAGTAAGGACTTAAACCTTATCTGATATATTTACTTCTCTTGTCTTAGCAGTTAGACTTGCATAATCAACAGTTGATAAATTATGTAAGACCTCTAAGTCTTACACATATGTAAGTGGATCCTATCTCAACAGTAGTGATAAATCTCCCTCCCTTGGGCCTTTTTGGGCTCTAGAACTACTATTTTCTGATGCTGATTGCTTTAGCAAGATACTCCTCACTTAAGTTTCCTATTGTCTATCATGTCTTTTTTGTATTTTTGTTAACATTCAAGGTTTGAATTTCTAACAGGCCATCTTTGGTGGTAAAGTTCAGGTGCCAATACTTTCAGGGAAGACAGAAGTGAAAGTAATATTTTGGTCTTTAACTTCTTTTTTGTATTTGTATGCATTATTAAGTTGTGTTAAGAGTAACAGCAAGGACATAGGAAGATGTTTGTGTAAATGTTATGGTACAGGAGCAAGTTAAGCAAAATAAATCTTTCTTGCTGGGTAATCTTAACAATTTTTATTTATATTTATGTTCAAAAAGCAATTCATCTTTATAAAAATCCTACCAAATTAGATTTTATCCCTGTATTTCTGGATACATTCTCTGGATTAATAAAACTTTTGGCATGTCCCAGCCAGCAGTGTTTTATGGATTAACCATTTCATACTTTGGCCTTTGCAGATACCAAAAGGAGTTCAGCCTGGCCAATTTCTAGTTCTAAGAGGGAAAGGTATCTTAGACCAGGTCTCCTTTCTTCTTGTTAGTTTTTGATAAAATTTTGCCACAGAAAACATTCTTTTCTTACAAGCTCCTGCAGGACTGCCAAAGCATGGTTTTTTTGTTGATTGTGGAGATCTATTCGTCCACTTCTGTGTTAACTTTCCTACGTAAGCTTCCTTTTGCTTATAATATTATTAAAGTTTGTGCTGTTGTTTTGGTTGCCTCTATATTCATATTTAGAGAATAAATTAAGATTAAATTAGTCACTGTGATCATTAATCTGAATGAAATCTATGCAAAAGATGTTAGTGAAGGATAATATTAATTCCAATAAATTAAAAGTGATTTCACTTGCACATGACACAACAAATATTTGACTGTATTTTATCATGATGTGACCAGAGCCATAATACGGGAAAATGAAGGTTGTTGGTTCAATTTTGCTAGGTAAAAAGGGGTATATGCTGTTGTCTCTATGTGACAGTCTCCCTTGATTGGTGCCTGCCACTAGTTGATTAATCATACTAGATCAATCTTCAATTCTGTGAAAAATTTTGTTGGCTTTATTACAAACGACATGAAAAATAAAAGATCAACTTTGACATGGTGGCCTGTGGCCTGTTCACTGAAATTGTGTTTTGTGTCTTAGTAAATTTTTCAAACTTATTTTATTCTCTAAAATGTTTGCTCTCACCATCCCTTCTCTTTCTTTCTCAGTGCAATAAATGAATGTTGTCTTGCTATTTTAGAAGAATTTGCGTAGGAGGAAATTGAGAATGAAAGGAAAAACTTTTTCAGAGGAAATTGGTAAGAGCTTCTAAATTGCAATTATCTTTTTGGCCTTTTATTTATTTATTTATTTTGATAAGAATAAGGTTTGTTACCTGATGCTTCCTCTTCTGGTAAAACTTGATTGCATTGTTTAGTGGATAAAATACTGTTCCACCATGTTTAGGTCTAGGCATGTGTAATGATGGGCTTGATCCCTTCTGTTGAATTTTATTACATTGCTCAAGCAAAGTTATTAACAGATCGTAAGAGAGAAGAACTTGGGCAATCCGGGTTTTGCCCATTCTCAGATAACAAAGCATTACACCAGTTACCATTAATTCAAAGGCATAAATTAATAGCTGTTTGGGAAAATATTCTTTTGATCTTATTTTGAATCTGCTGTTACTAAACTGCTTTTTTCATTTTTTTTTTTATCCATTCTTTCAAAGCTTGCATTTCTTAGCATTTTTTATTTGTCTTGCATGGATCTGTTGGCTATAATGTTGCATGGATATCAATGAAACGTTTTTGTAATTAAGCTGATTATGATAAAGACCCTAAAATGGACAAACAGGCTTCACTAGAAAGATATCTCCTGGTTGAACTTACAGGTGGGAGAAAATTCATGAGCATGTGATGGGTCCTGACTTCTTTATTGAATTTTCTTTGTTCTTGCTGATCCTTGTCTTCCTGAACAAGATTGTGGGCTAGATTATTGGAAGACAATATGCCTGAAGATAGTGAATGATATAGGACATGCTGCCCCCTCCATTTTCTGGGGAATTATATCCATAGAAGGTACCAATTTCTTCACACCATTTTTCTCTCCCATTTTTTGGCATCGCATCATATCAATGCCTTCATTTTGCTTTTCATTTTGTTATTTCCCTTTGTATTTTCACACTTAATTCTTGTATAGAACTTGTTTTTCAGTTATAAAAATAAAGTCCATTGAATCTGCAATACTTTCTTCTATAAAAATATTACTTTTACCATGTGATTCCAAAACTAAAAATAAAAAATGTGGCACTTGAAAGTGTTTGTTGTTTGGTGGACAATCCAGATCTTCATTAAAAAGTATCAGAGTTCCAGCTTAAAAAAACACTAACTTCAATAAATATTGCATGTTATAAAATAAAAAATTAGCTATTCAATTCAATATTCTATTAATATGAATCTTGCATATGAAATAGAATAAGAAGGAAGCGTCATGGATTAGGGAGAGAAGGCATCTCTGTCTCTGGAGTTTGATTCCTTTTCTTCTTGTTGTGCTTTATCTCACCGTAGAAGTATGAACCGAAACCCCAAAGGGAGAGTGCAAGAGAAACCCCCTTCTCCGCTGTAAATCTTTCTCGGTAAATAATCACGGCTAGGATCTCAGTCACCGGAAGTGCAACAGCGATTATGATTCCGGACAGCAAAGACGAACCACAAAAGATGACTCCGATTGCTCCCAGGAAGAAACACTGCCAGATCATTGAAGTGATAACAACCACGACGTAGTATTTAGCTTCCCCTAGCTCGAATTCCCTTGCCTCTCTTCCAATTACCTGCAATATTATATATAATTTCAATTATCTTAATTCAAGAAAAGGCAATGCTAACAACCCCTATCAAATAAATTGTTCGCATTCCTCTCTACCACTTAGCTAACTCAACAAGTTGGAATCCGAAACTTTTAATTTGAAAATTTTCCTATAGTTTGTTTTGCAATGTTATAATTAAGAGACTTTAGAATATATATGAGAAGCTGACCTTGAAATCATTGTTGATTATCATGCCGATAGTGCAAAAGGCAGTAGCAAAAATACTCAAAACCATCTGAACTTCCAAGACAAGAGTGTAACTGATCTCTTGCTTTGCCTTCTTGTACATCAACTCCACCAGTGGCAAAATAAATCCGTAAAGCACGGCTGCTCCGACTGTCATTAAAAATGCTATAATATACTCTTTAGTCGATTCACCCTTCGTCCGGTCTGCGCTGGTATGCATAGCCAGAACCCCCGCCGCTACTGTTAGGAGAAACACAGCGTTTATTGAATACGAAGTGAACTTCTGCTTCACCAAGAGGAAGGCAAAAACGGCGGTGAAGGCTAGCTGGGCTGCAATGATAAGGGAAGAGGTAGAAACGGGAAGACGTCCCACTCCATAAGCGTAGAGGTAGTTATCAAAGCCTGTGAGAAAGGACAGATTAATTTTTTTTTTTCATTTAATTGAAGCACATTTTTTTTAACATAGACTCCATACCTTGGATGACTCCTATTCCTGCGGAGGTGACGAATAAGGGAAACTTCATGAGGAAGAACTTAGATGTAGGGTTGGTTCTGCGGCGGTGGAGGAAGGCAATGGTGAGAGGGAGGAGAATGATGGGCCAGCAGCTGGTTTCGAGCCAGCTGGAGAACCAGACGCGTTTGCCTCCATGGAGGAAGTAGAGGCGCAAGAGGAGTGGACCGGCGATTATACCGGTGGATAGGATTACGCAGTTTAGGAGCAGGAGAGCCCTGCGCTTGGTGGGTTTTGGTTGCTTAGCTTCCATATGAGAGAGAGATTTGGGTCTCTACTGTGTATCTCCGAGTATGGGAAGTTAGGATCAAATACATTGGTATTTATGAAGGTAAGAACCTATGCATTGGTTAGGAGTGAATGCATGGATTTGGTTAGATATTAATTATCCGGAAATTTTTTGAAATTTCTGGTACAACTTTTCATACTTGTGCTTATCTAATTAGACGGTGTAGTTATACCTGCACGAATGTGGTTATTGTCGCCTTATACCATTAATTTTTTTTT